CTTTCGCGTGGTCCTTGTCCAACTGGTTGGCAGTTTTCTTCCAGTCCTCAATCCTGTCCTGCAAAGGGTTTATCAGGCTCTCCATGAGGGCGCTGGAGCAGAGGGAGAGAGAGGTAGAGAGCGTGGGGAGAGCGCCGGAGTCATGGGGGGAGCTGTGCATCTCCCCCCTCCCCCAATCCCGGTCCCAGCCGACATCCAGCGTCTCCTCCTTCAGAGAGGGAGGGCTGAGGCCGGGCAACTCGTGTCACTGGTGGCCTGGGCGCCGCGCTTACTTGGTGAACTGCCGGAGCTTGGCCTCGATGCTGCGGTGCCGCATGCACATGCGGGTCAGCGCGGAGCCAATGTCCCTCGTGCCACCTGGGGAAGAAGGTTGGGGGGAGGGGGGCAAAACGCTGCTTACGAGGGGCAGGAGACACCCCCACACCAGTCCCAAACCAGTTTGTATACTGGGACCAGGCTGGCTTGCGGCAGGGACAACCGGCACTGGGATGCGCTGGGCTTTGGAGATGCTTTGGGTCAGGGATGTCTCCTCCCCCCCCCGCCCCACTAAATAAATAAATCACTGTCCACTAACTAATAGATAAAGCACCGAATATCCCTCCCCGCGGCTTCGAAATGAAAACTCGCTCCTGTTTTTTCCCAGTTTGTCTCAAATCCGGCACTGGGGGCACTGGGGAAGGGAGGAGGTGAGGTACCGTGAGGCATGGATCGCGAAATGCGCCGGCTGGGAGCAAACAGCTCCAGGACCCGCTTCCCTCCCCAGCTCTGCGCCAGGCAGCCGGCTGCATCCCCCACCTCCCGGCACGATCCCAATCCCGATCCCAAGTGGATAAAAAGGGAGTCAGAGCTCCCCACAGAGTGTGCGTGTGGGGAGGATTTGCCGGCAACGGAAAGCAGGAGCATCCCGTTTTGCTTAAACTGCCGTTAACTCTGAAGCCTAAGGATGTCCACATGGTGGCAGTGCTGCTGGCAAATCCCGGGAAAAGCAGCAATCCGAAATCCCTGGGTGCGGGCCAGGGAGTGATATTTTGCCTTTCTCTCCATCCCCCCACCAGAAAAAGCCTCCAGTGACACCCCCCACCTTGTGCAGGAGTTTGGGGCACCCCCCCCCAGCCCCGCAGCGCTACAGAAACGGGGGAGCCCGAAGGCCTTCTCCTCCTCCTGCGCCGGGGTATTCTCCTAATCCCACTCCTA